TGGTTTTTAAAATTTTTTTTCCCTAACTAATGGGGAAGATAGCAACTGTTCCCACAAAACCCAACCATACTTGCACTTCCTGTAGCCCTACCCATTGAGGGAGGGCCATCACTTGCTTTTGCACCAACTGCCCAACAGTAGACGGTGGCCAATACCGGCTCAACTCACCGTCAATTGCTCTTTACGAACAGCTGACAGAGATCTGTGCACACACACTCATTCTCTTTCACACCCACCAGGATACAGGTGCTGAGAGCCTAAGTGCTAACAGCTAGAGAATAGAGGAGCACGGTACCCTGTTCACACAGATATACCAAAAAAATAAAGGAAGAAAAAAAATATTGTGCAAATCCACCAACATTGAATCAGAAACTCAACATAAACACACCACCACCACAATGTCTCTGAGACAGCAGATCATCACATTCTACACATAAAAATAAGGTAAAGTAGTACAAAGGACCAGAATACAAACCCAGAAAATGTCCCTGAGGAAGAAGCAGCATTGCAACTCCTTGATAAAGAATTCAAAAGAATTATATTTGGGTACCTTCAATGGATTGAGAGACAGAAGAAGGAAAACACTGACAAGATCAAGGGAAGCACTGACAAAATTAAGGAAAACACAGGCAAAACTGTAGAACAATTTAGGAAAACAATTCAAGAACAAATTGACAAACAAAAATTTAAAAGTGATACAAAAACCACCAACAGAAATCCAGAAGATTAATACTAAGATTTCAGAAATAGGTAACACATTGAATGGGCAGTGGAGTAGAATGGAATCAATGGAAGACAGAATTAATGATATTGAAGACAAATACTTCAATACTACTTTATTGAGGGATCAGTCAGACAAAAGTTCAAAACATAATGAAGAAAGCCTAAAATTCATGTGTGATACCATCAAGAGGAATAACATACATGTAATCAGAATTCTGGAACAGGAAGAGACAGATAAAACCGTAGAGAAAATGTCAAAGATTTGTTGGAAAAGACTTTCCCTAATATGATGGAAGATAACAATATATCCAATTAAGAAGTTCCACAAACCCCAAACACGATAGACCCCAAAAGAAAAACATAAAGACATATCATCATCAAACTCACCAAAACCAAAGACAAAGAATCCTGAAAGCACACAGGAAAAACAATAAATTACCTACAAAGCACAACTAATAAGACTGCTCTGATTTCTCAGCAGAAACAATGCAGGCAAGAAGGCAGTGGGGATGATAGGTATTAAACTCTGAAAGAAAAAAATTTCCCACCAAAAATTATATACCCACCAAGATTGTCCCTCAAATATGAGGTTGAAATTAGGAGATTTCCAGATAAGCAGAAATTAAGGGAATTTGTTAAAACCAGAATGACTTTACAAAAGATGTTAAAGGGACTTGCTCAGGGAACCAGCAACAGTAAACAGCAACCAATGATTAATACACATGACAACATAACCCAGAAACCAAGCCAGTTATAGATATATCCAAAGTAAAATAAGTTCACAAGACTGTGAACAGTGAACCAGAGACATCAAGTAGTAAATGAGGACAACCACAAACCAAAAAGGGATTAAATACTGTAGTTACAGACCTTCTAAATGGTGAGGAAGTAAAGACAATTGCAAGATAGGACAGACTGTGTTAAACTTGGGAAAAAAATTGTCAATTACAGGGTACCCTCAAAGAAAAATAATAAACCTTTACATCAAAATAGAAAGAGGACAAGCACAAATATTTAGCAAATACTAAAACAATAGCAATAAAGGAGATGATAACACAACTCATAAACATAATGAGCTCAGCACAGAAAATTATAGGAAACAAATCAGCAACACCACACACACACCCAAAAATAACAAAATGGCATCAATAAATGCATACTTGTTGATCATTACACTGAATGTGAATTGATTAAATGTACCACTCAAGAGACAGAGAGTGGCAGACGGGATAAGAAAATATGACCCATCGATATGCTGTCTATGAGAGACCCACCTTAAAGACAAAGACAAAAAAAGACTAAACATCAAAGGTTGGAAAAAGATACACGAAGCAAATGGCAACCAAAAGAGAGCAAGAGTGGGAAATTAATTTATAAAATAGACTTTAAGACAAAAATGACCTTAAGAGGCAATGAAGGACATTATATAATGATTAAAGAATAACTTGAACAAGAGGACATAACCCTGATAAATATCTACACACCCAGTGAAAGAGCCCCAAACTACATAAAACAGACTTTAACAGAATTGAAAAGACAAATAGTTGACTCCTCACTAATACTAGGAGATTTTAATACACCACTTTCAATAAAAGTTAGAACAACTGGAAAGAAACTCAACAAAGATGCAGTAGAACTAAGCAATACGATCAACCAATTCGACCTTACAAAAATCTATAGAGTACTTTACCCAACAACAGCAAATATACATTATTTTCCAGAACACATGGAACATTCTCCAGGATTGACCATCTGTTAGGCCACAAAGCAAGCCTCAGTAAATTTTAAAACATTTAAAAATTTTAAAGCATTCTCAAATCACAATGCTATAAAATTAAAAATCAACATTAGGAAGACCAATGGAAAAAGAGTAAATGCATGGAAACTAAGTAACATTCTCCTCAAAAGTGAGTGGCTAATGGAAGAAGTAAAAAATGAAATAAAAAAAATTATTTGAATCAAATGAGAATGCTTACCCCTTAAAGACTTAGAGATAAGTGAACGAGATTTCTTCAGTGTTGTTTCAATATTGACGTGATCATAATCAGAATATTGGACTGATTTTATTTCAGAAAATTTTTCTGACATTTTAAACTTTAAGATATTAACACTTCTAGTGTTAACTGTCCTTGATTTTCCCAGTATCACTCTATTCATTTGTAGTACGCAAATGAAAGATTTTTTTTTTTTTTTAATTATGATTTGGGTGAAAGTTTATGGAGCAAATTGGTATTCCATTCAACAATTCACACAGTTTGTTTTGTGGTAGTTAGTGTGATCCCTGCAGTGTAACTGCCCTCTTCCTACTTCTTTCCTGTTTACCATTTCCCTTTGTCCTTTCCTATGCCTTCCTGCCTTCTGAGCTTTATTCCTGGGCAAATGTTGCCCTTTTGATCTCATGCGTTTGCTTGTGCTAATGTGTGCGAACCTTCCTGGTATTATTGTTCACATTACAGGCCTGTCAGTCATTTGGCTGAAAGTTGAGCCATGGCGGTTGACTTCAGTTCTAGATTTGAAGGGTTTCTAAGGGCCATAATCTCAGAGATTCCACCAGTCTTCATCAGACCAGTTAGCCTGGTCTTGTTTATGATTTCAAGTTTTATTCCACAGTTTCTTCCACTCTATCTGGGACATCTTATTGTAATCCCTTTCAGAGCAGTCAGCAGTGGTAGCCAAACACCATGTATTTCTTCTGGTCTCAAGGTCGAGAAGGCTGGGGTTCGTGGTCCATTAATCCTTTGGATTAATTATGTTCTTACATCTTTGATTTTCTTCACTCTTCTTTGCTCCAAATGGGGAAAGTCTAATAGTTGCACCTTAGATGGCCACTCACAAGCTTTTTTTTTTTTTAATTGTGATTTGGGTGAAAGTTTACAGAGCAAATTTACTTTCCATACAGCAGTTCACATATACTGATGACATTGACAGTTTACCCCAATGCAACACCTCCCCTCCCACTTTCTCCCGATAGTTACCTCTTCCCTGTGTCCATCCCTCCATGTACTCCTGCCCCCTGAACTGTCTCCCTGTACATAAACAGCCTTCTTTCTCCCATGATTGTTCCTCCAAGGGATGTATCTACCTCAGGTGCATGTTCAACTTTTATGCCTGTCTTATTTGGCTGGAAGCCATAGGTGTAGGGTAAATCCCAGACCTGAAGGACAGCTAGGGACCATAGTCTCAGTGGTTCTGTCAGGCTCTATCAGACCAGTAAAGTCTCCCCCAACCTTTTTTTTTCCAAATGATTTTGAGTTTTGTTCTACATTGTTCTCCATCTCTATCCAGGATCTCCTACGTAGATCCCCCTCTGAGTGGTTGACAGTGGTAGCTGGGCACCATCTAGTTCTTCTGGTCTCATAGTCGTATAGGCTGAGGATCGCATGGTGTACCAGTTGTGAGGACTAATTGTTTCCATGACTCTTTGGTTTTCTTCATTCTTCTTTGCTCTAGATGAGGAGAGACCCATTGTTGCATCTAGATGGCTGCTTCAGGCTTCTAAGATCCCAGTTGCTACTCACTGAAGTAGGAGGTGGAACAATGTTTTGTGTAGTATGTTATGCCAATTGCCACTCACAAGCTTTTAAGACTATAGTTGTTACTCCTCAAAGTAGGCAGTAGTTCATTGTCTTTGTAGAACAAAAGGTTATTGAGAGCAGTTCCTTAACTTCCACAGATAATTGATCTTTCAACAGAACATCAATAGGGTAAACTATATGTTGAAGATTAATTTTTTTTCAACAATTTTTTGTTTGTTTTTGTCTTTTAACCAAATAATGTTTATTTGAAACTCTTTTGTGGTGAGAGTTTTAAAGTATTAGATATCTTTGTTATTTTAGGATGCACATTCACAAGGTGAGGTGGTATCATGCTTGGAGAAAGGCCTGGTGAAGGAAGCAGAAGAAAGAGACCCCAAGATTCAAGTCTCTGAACTCTGCAAGAAAGCCATACTCCGTGTGGCCGAGCTGTCTTCAGACGATTTTCATTTAGACCGGCATTTATATTTTGCCTGCCGAGATGATCGGGAACGTTTTTGTGAAAATGTGAGTCACTTCAGAAGCTGTTATTCTTTTCCTCCTTTTAGAATATATTTTTTATGCTATATCCCAAAATAAAATAAATCACCACAAAGCTTCACATATAGAAAAGCCTCTGAAATGGAAAAGGGAATTAGTCCTGGAATAACAGAAAACAATACTAGATGCTCAGCCTTGATGACTTAACTTTTCAGTCTTACAGCTGCCACACATTGTTTTTTTTTTTCTACTTACATCTCATTTGTCAATTTCAGTTACTGAACATCTGTTTTAACTATACTGAGATTTTACCATGGAATATTACTTACTGACTTATTTATGTCTAAATATATTTAGACATATTCCATGTCTAAAACTTTGCTGCATTGACATACATACACACACATATAGACACAGATGCACATATGCATATATATATGTATATATGAGTATGTGTGTGGGTAGGTGTGTGTATGTGTGTATATGTGTATATATACACCTCTGTCTACCCATACACATATATATACTTATAGGTTTTGGCTAAGATGAAGAATATAGTAGATATCTAACTTTAAAACCAAATCCTTGTTTACTATCTCCATGTCCTATAGAACAGCTTTCCAACACTTTAAATGGAATAGTCTCCATCCTTACAGCTGAAGTCAGAGAGTTACTTGCATACACTTCCACTCTGTCCTCTGTTTTTTTTTTTTTTTTTTAATTTTATTGTGATTTGGGTGAAAGTTTACAGAGCAAATTAATTTTCCATACAGCAGTTCACATATACTTTGTGTCATGACATTGACTTCAATTTCCCACAATGCAACAACTCTCTTCCTACTTCCTCCCCATAGTTACCTCTTTCCTGTGTTCTTCCCTCTCACGCACTTCTGCCCCACCAAGCCGTCTCCCTGTGCAACCCTTCTATTCTCCCATGATTGATCTCTCCAAGGAATGTATCTACCTATTGTAAATGTTCAGCTCATATGCCTGTCTTTTGTTTGGCTGATCTGCCCTCTGTTTTGAAGTAACCACTATAACCATCAGAGCCACTCATCATATTAGAAGAGTTTTCTTGACTCTGGCATAATATTGTAAGAAGGGAGACTCTGATGCTTCTCACAGTTTCCTGTGGGATTATGGGGAAAATATTTTCATCTTTACTGCAATCACCTGTCTTTCAAGAGCTGCTAAATTTTTTAAAGTTGCTGAGTCATTTATCCAAAGGCTCGGTTCTACTGTATGACATTGTGCATAGTGTCCAGCATAACTACTTGACTAATAATAGTAACACTATCTGTGCTCCATCTTACAGACACAAGCTGGTGAAGGCAGAGTATATAAGTGCCTCTTTAACCACAAATTTGAAGAATCCATGAGTGAAAAAGTAAGTATTACTTTGAAACAAACCATTATTTTATTCATTCCTCAAAAGCTTTTACTAAACCTCTCAAAAAGTATTTTTATACACTCATACCAGAATATAAATGACTGACATCCTTATCTTTTTCAGAGGTGATAGTCTTGGATTATAGGGGTGAGCCAAAATACAGTTGGCTTAAACCATAAAAGAAAGCTGTAATTTTGATATTGAGACATCATGTAGTCTATTTTCAGAGTGAAATTGGAGAATTTTTTTATCAGAATCACTGAGGCCAACTTTTCATACTCAAGAAGTTTAGGGTAACCCAGCTAATGTGTTCCGTAACTAGCCATTTATTTGGTCAACACCTTCACATTACTATTAGTCCTCTGTCCCTAGATGAATGCAAGAATCTTTGATAACTTGTAAAAGTAATTAGTTTTCGTTTTGCTGTCCTGCCATAACTTTCCTGTGCAGCCAAAGAAGTGTTTGACATTTCAGTTTCTTTTTTTGTTACTATTGAATAATAGTGTTTAAAAAGTATAAAATGAAATTTTCAAAGTATTAGGCCACTTAGCACGCATTTACCCTTACCTCTGGCCATGTTTAGCATGCTTGTGCTAAATTTTAAACCAAACTTAAAAATAGGCATTTTGTTAACAGCTATAGTTTTGGACATTTGCAGTATACTGGTCTGTAAGTCTCTGTGGTAGTCTCGAAAGACCCATGTGAACAGAGCCGTGGGAGTGGCCCTGCAGTTCTCTTGCTGCTTTGTTTCCTTAGTGTCGAGAAGCACTAACTACTCGCCAAAAGCTGATTGCCCAGGATTATAAAGTCAGTTATTCATTGGCCAAATCCTGTAAGAGTGACTTGAAGAAATACCGTTGTAATGTGGAAAACCTTCCTCGGTCCCGGGAAGCCAGACTGTCCTACCTCCTAATGTGTCTGGAGTCAGCTGTACACAGAGGTAAAAGTTCATTTCTTTTTATCCTTTTTGAATCCACACTCTAAAGCCTTGTGTACTTGTCGTGTTACTTTCCTCTTGTATTGGCTCTTTTGAGTATACTTGTGTCTTCTGACCAAGGAGCCTTTCTTTGTAAACACAGTTCTAGGAACTGAAGTTTTAGTGTTCGTAAGTCTTGTTAAGGCCCTTTTTTTTAGCCAATAATACCCAATTTCAGTTTTCATTACTTCTAGCTTTAAAAAAAAAGTATATTACTGAATTCCAAATATTTTAATTTTTGAAATGCATATTGTACAGCATTTTGAATGGATGGAGTCAGGGTAGCATAATGATTTAAACGTGTGGCTTTGGGTCAGAGAGACATGGGTTCAAATAGGGCTCTATCACTAAACTAATTGGCTGAGTTAGTAAACAAATGCTGCGCTGGAGGCACTCACTCATCTATGCCAAGAAATGTGGAAGACAGCTACCTGGCTAACTGACTCAAAGAGATCCATATGTGTACCCATTCCAAAGAAAAGTGATCCCACAGAATGTGGAAATTATCAAACAATATCATTAATATCACATGCAAGTAAAATCTTGCTGAAGATAATTCAAAAATCGTTGTAGCAGTTCCCTTTCTGGAAGACATGGAACTTCCGGAAGTGCAGGCTGGATTCGGAAGAAGATGTAGAACAAGAAATATCATTGCTGATGTCAGATGGATCTTGGCTGAAAGCAGAGAATACCAGACAATTGTTTCCTTGTGTTTTAATGACTATGCAAAAGCATTCAATTGTATGGATCATGACAAATTATGGATAACATTAAGAAGAATGGGAATTCCGGAACAATAATTGTGCTCGTGAAGAACCTGTACATAGACCAGGAGGCTATCATTCGAGTAGAACAAGAGCGTACTGCGTGGTTTAAAATCAGAAAGGGACTGTGTCAGGGTTGTATCCTTTTACTATACATAATTAATCTGTATGTTGAGGAGATAATCCAAGAAACTGGAGTTGATGAAGAAGAATGCATCATCAGGATTAGTGTAAGATTCATTAACAACCTGTGATATGCAGATGACAAAGCCTTGCTTGCTGAAAGTGAAGATGAATTGAAGCACTTATTGATGAAGATCAAAGACTACAGTCTGCAGTATGAGTTACACTTCAACATAAAGAAAACGAAAATCCTCACAACTGGATCAACAAGCAGCGTCACGACAAATGGAGAAAACTTTGGAGATGTCAGAGATTTCTTATTACTTGGTTCCACAGTAAACATCAATGGAAGCAGCAGTCTTTCATATGCATGTGAAAGGTGGATAATGAATAAGGAAGACCGAAGAAGAGTTGATGCCTGGAAGTTGTGATGTTGGCGAAGAATGCTGAAAGTACTGTGGACTATGAGAAGAACTGACAAATCTGTCCTGGAAAAAGTGCAGCAAGAATGGCCAGATTTTGTCCCACCTACTTTGGTCATGTTGTCAGAAGGAACCATTCCCTGGAGAAGGATATCATGCTTGGTAAAGTGGAGGGTCAACGAAAAAGGGGAAAGCCCTCACAAGATGGCTTGACACAGTGGCTACAGCAGTGGGCTTAGGTATAGCAAGGACTGTGAGGCTGACGCAGGACCAGGTAGTGTTTCATTCTGTTGTACATAGGGTTGCTGTGAGTCGAAGCTAACTGGACAGCACCTGGCAACAACAACCGTATTAAAATGATGGACTGTAACAGTTATTGGTGAGGATATGGAGGAACTGGAACTACTAAAGGGAATTTAAAATGGTACAACCGCTTTGGAAAACAATTTGCCAGTTTCTTGGAAACGGAATATATATCTACCATATGACCCAGGCATACAATCCCAAGAGAAATGAAAGTGTATGTTTATATACTCTCTTGTCCATGAAAGCTCATAGTGATATGTTTATAATAGCCCAAAACTGGAAATACTCCGGATGTCCTTCACCAAGTCAGTGGTTAAACATAGTATTATCCGTATAATGGAAATCGATGATACCATTTTTACTGCTAAACAGTAAAAATAAATGAAGTTGTGGTACATGAATGAATCTCAAAGAACTATGTTGAATGAAAGTAATCAGACAAAAAAGACTATACTGTATGATGCCATTTATATAAAGTTCTCTTTTAAAAGAAAAAAAGGCAGATTGGCAAGCTAATCTGTAGTCACAGAAAGTAGATCTGTTGGTTGCCCAGGGATGGGCTGGAGGGAGCAGAGAGGAGTGGAAGGGAGAGATTCTAAAGGGGTGTGAAGAAATTTTTGGAGTTGATAGATACGTTCAGTAGCATGACTGAAGTGATGGTTTCACCAGTGTACATATATATCAAAAGTTACTAAATTATATGCTTTAAATATGGGCAGTTTATTATATGTTAGTGTTACCTTAGTAAAGCTATTTTAAGAAGTCTCTTAAGTTTTCCCAGCCAGTATTTATAGCTCAAGGAAAGAGTGTGTGTGTGTGTGTGTGAGCAGGGTGTGGGGGCTCGTAGTGTACATGTTGAAGTGCAGTCTTTTTCACAAGCTTTAACTGTGCAGACCAGCAGGGATTGTTCTTTTGCTTTAATTTTTATACCAATAATTACCTTATTGATAAGATTTGCATTAGCAAAGCATTTGCACTATTCAGTAGTATAAAATCTGTAAAGGCATACATTTTGTTACACATATATTTATCATAATTTTAAAAAAATGAGAAAAAAAATGTATAAATAACACAGACACTGACAGGTTAAACCATAGTCTCTGGAGCCTAAGCCCATTTTTTGCTTCTGAAGTTTTTGCCAAGTTCAAATTTTAATCTTTTCATTGTAAAGAATAGCATACTTACATAGATACTATATACTTACATAGATAAAACCATTGTTTGCTAGATTTTCTAAAGAAAGGATAGCTTGGTAGATTCGTTGTATATTCTACTCTAGACAGAAACGTGTATTTTAAAAATTATTACTATAGTAAAATATATATTGGAAATATTTGCCATTCTGACCATTTGGCATGTACAGTTTAGTGACATTAATTACATTCACTGTGTTGTGCAACCATCATCACTATCCATTTCCAAAAAATTTTTTCATCACCCCTAATAGAAACTCAGCACCCCTAAGCAATAACTCCCCATTTATCTCCCCACCCCCCAAGTAACCACTAATAAACTTTGGTCTCTATGCATTTGTGTTTTATAGATGTTTCATAAAATTGGGATCATACAATATTTGTCCTTTTGTGTCTGAGTTATTTCACTTGACATAATATTTTCAAGGTTCATCCATGTTGTACTATGTATCAGAACTTCGTTTCTCTATATGTGACTGAGTAAGAAATGTGTACTTGTAATTTTTCCCATCATCTGTCCGTTTATCACTCTGTGAGGGCTTGTGTGTTGTGGTGCTGGAAGCTATGCCACTGGTATTTCAATTACCATCAGGGTTCCTTAGGATGGACAGGTTTCAGTAGAATTTCCAGACTGGTGACAGGGAGGAAGAAAGACCTGTCTACTTCTGAAAATTAGCCAATGAAAATCCTATGGATCCCAGCAGAATATTATCTAATATTGTGCTGGGAGATGAGCCTCTAGGCTAGAGGGCACTCAAAATGCACAGTGGCCGCAACAGTGGGCTCAAGCAGACCAGCGGTCGTGGAGATGGCACAGGACGAGCAGCGCTTGATTCTGTTGGAAGTGGGGTTGCAGTGGGCTGGAGCCAACTCCAAGGCAGCTAACAACAACAGTAATTTTTAATAGGAATCTTAGCCTGATGCTCACTCTCCATAGTATTATGACTTCTCTTCCTAACTTAGGGCGACAAGTGAGCAGTGAGTGCCAGGGGGAGATGTTAGATTACCGACGCATGTTGATGGAAGACTTTTCTCTGAGCCCTGAGATCATCTTGAGCTGTCGAGGGGAAATTGAACACCACTGTTCCGGACTGCATCGAAAAGGACGCACCCTACACTGTTTGATGAAAGTAGTTCGGGGTGAGAAGGGAGACCTTGGAATGAACTGCCAGCAGGCGGTAAGGAGAGATTTTTCTGCTACCATTCTTTTTTAGATTGTCCAACCTTCCTTCTGAGGAGTGGCTGGTGGGTTTGAACCTCCAGCCTTCTGGTTAGCAGTCAAGTGCCTTAAGCACTATGCTACTAGAGCTCCTCAAATTTTACTGTGATTTGGGTGGAAGTTTACAGAGCAAATTCATCTTCTATATGGCAGTTCATATACACTTTGTCTTATGACATTGACTGTAATCTCCCACAGTGCAACAGCTCTCCTCCCACTTCCTCCCCATAGCCACCTCTTTCCTGTGTCCTTCCTTCCCATGCACTCTTGCCCCCGACCTGTTTCCCTGTGCATACACAGCTCTTCTATTCTCCCATGATTGATCTCTCCAAGGAGTGTATCTGTCTTATGTAAATGTTCAGCTCATATGCCTATCTTTTGTTTGGCTGGAAGCCATTGGAGTGGGTTCAGTTCCAGACCTGAAGGGCAGTTAGGGGCCATAGCCTCAGGGGTTCCACCAGGCTCTATCAGACCAGCAAACTTGGTCCCTTTTTTTTTTTTTAATGATTGTGACTTTTGTTTCACATTGTTCTCCCACTCTATCCAAGATCTCCTACATGGATTACCCCTCCTCATGGTTGACAGTGGTAGCCGGGTACCATCTAGTTCTTCTGGTCTCGTAACTACTGCCATTCTTAATGTCATGTTTCCTCATCTGATGAACCTCTTGATACTGTCTCACATTGCTGTATTTAGGACATTTTTTACATCACAGTGAACATAAGGTATAAGAATCATCACAATATCATAATTAATAAAAAGAGCCATACACTTACATAGATAAAAAAAATTGTTTGCTGGAGTTTCTAAAGAAAAGATTACTTGCTAGATTTGATTTGCTAAACTCTGAATCAAGGCAGAGTCTTGCAAATCTGGAAAGGTCGTCCATCATTAGAGAATTTTCCTATCTTCATGGGTTTAAGTTGAGGCTCAAAGAGAGCTGACATGAATTGAAATTTTCTAAGTTTTTTATTACTGGTGTACAGTGTAGCATGAATTGCTGGCCTAAAGGATCATGAGAGCATGTAGTTTTCAGAATCACATTATCTTTTTTTATTGGACTATGGCAACTATGCATAGATGGCACATACCCTTTCTTCCACCCCCAAACTTTACACTCAGTTATAGAAGAAGAGTGAGAAAAAATGATAATCATGCTTTCTTCGGGAAGATAAAACTATTCTTGACACAGTGTTTGTAAACAAATAACTGCAGATCAGGTACATAATATAAAAATCACAAAGTATTGAAAACTTTAATTATCGTTGTCTGTGTTTATTACCTTTCAAGGGATACGAGTCTTTGAACAATTTAAAATAGCAAATGCAACAGTGGTATTCAGTAATATGATAGCTTTATGTCCTGAGCTAGAATGTTGAGGTTCTCTCATCAATGACACTTTCGAAAATAATAATTCATCTGTTCTGTGTCACACACACACACAGAGTGGGAAAAATAGATAAAAGATCTATGTCATACATACATCTATGATGGGAAAACTAAAAGAAAAGGCTTTCTTGTACTAAAGTATATAGGGGAGGGGGAAAAAAAGGAAAAAGAGACAGATTTCACTTTATTTTGAGCCATCTAGTTTACTATGAGTGGGAACCCACTTGAAAGCAGTGGGTTTTAGTTTATCTCCGGGACTTTTTTAAATTCAGGTCATTAAAAGAGCTAGTGACTCAACTTGAAATATAAATAAGTACCACCAATTTTACCCTTCATGTGCAGAAGAAAAGTGCTTTCCAAACCTAGAAATTATCCTCAGATAGTGAAATCTGTGGTTTTTGCCCACATTGGGTTCAGCCAAGGGGAAAACTGAGTTTATTTTTGTATTTATGAACTCATAGTTTTTAGCCTTTGCTCACAAAAATGAATGGCATAAATGATCCAAAGAGAAAAAATTTCTTGAGTCTTTTACTATATTACCTATCCTCAATCAAATGGAGATATGCTTTGAAATAATTTATTTTGAGTGGGTTTCTCCCTTGCTTTCGTTTTTCAGTTTCCTTCCCTGATACACCAGGTTTTCATACCTGTGGTTGACCATTAATTGTCCTTGTTCTCTGCTTGATGCTGTTTTGATTTAATGATCACTCAACAAATAATAAACTGTGAAGCATAAGGATAATGATCATCTTAATGAGTACATACCCTTCCAAATCCACCATAATCATGAAAACTTGTTAAATTCACTTCAGTTATGGTACCTGAGGCTGGCCTGCGCTCTCCCAGGCCAGAGTTCACTTCAGTTCACTTCAGTTATGGCACCTGAGGCTGGCCCACACTCTCCCAGGCCAGAGTTGAGTGCTCAGTGTGTTCTCTAGGCTAATTTCACGGGATCATTTACCCAGATTTTTCCTCAGCATGTCAGGGAGAGAAATACATATATATTCACATAGCCATTCATATTCTTAGTGTTTATTTCCCAAACTACTGTCACTGAAGCCCAGAGTGGCAATAATCCTTTGAGTCCTTAGCCTACTAGGGTCGGGCATTCATTTTCTCCTTTTCATAGTTGCAGTCTGTTGAATTGTTTAATTCACACAGTTCTTACAAAAATTCCAGACTGCCATATGTGTTCAATTTCCTTCAAAAAAGAATATAATATTCTGGTCTTTTTCAGCAAATGTCCTGACTAAAATTGGTAGATGTTTGATGGTAATCTTCCTGTCAAAAAAGCACAGCATTTTGTATTTCTCTCTTCTTGATTATCAGCTTTTCTTCAGAGAGAGAGTCGGGTGTTTTTTGTTTTTTGTTTTTTTTTCCCTTCCTTATTTCCTTTTGATCTGTGTCCTCTGATAATTACATGATGGGGTCAGTGCTTTCATATGAGCACCTGTGAGATCATAGGTCAATTGTATCAGGGTCAGAGAAAGCTCCTGTACAAGCTAAATCAGCATCAGAGAAAGGATTCTGATTCTTTAACTTGAGGAAAAGGAACTGGAGCCAGTAGGGAGTCTAGTTTTCAAATTTTCTACGTCTGTTACTTCAGATTCCCACACCAAGACACCATCTGTAATAATAATGGGCTTTTACATCTGTAAAATGCTTTGCTCCCTTCTCTTATATATTATTTCCTCTAATCCTCTGGAGTTAAGGACACAGACTTAGAGGTTAATCATCTTGCCCATGTTCTCAAAGCTAATATCTGGCAGAGGTAAAGCTATTAATAGAACTCAGGTCTTCTGATTTAGTTATTCCCTCTGTGACTCACCTGCCTTCTCAAAGACGAAAGAAGAATTTGCTGCACTATTCTTGTGCCTTCACTTTACCTTGTGACAAGAGTTGGACCAAGCATAAGTAAATGTTAGCACATTTTCAATTGTATTATATTGAATACTAACAATACACAAGCTCTGGTACCTCTTGGTCATATAAAAATAGTTGAGGAAAAATAGGAAATGATAAGTATTATCATTATTTCTGCAAGTTTAATGAAATTTCATATCTATTTTTAATAAAGGGGAGAACACTTGATTTAATTACCGATGTCGTTGTAATAGAAATTCAAATTCCAGATTCTTATGACCAAATTTGGGTGTCTAACAGGGAATGTCTTCTATTTATGCTCCTCCACTGAATACTGATTTGGCTCCCAATGTCAGGTTTAGTCATCTGACGGACAGATATGAGGAAAGAGGCAGCCTTCAAATTGTAAAGGCCTTCTATTTTGCAAATGTCCAGGGGTTGGTCAAAACTGGTAGGCAACAATCCTTAAACCTGTTGAGCTAATTCTGATATAGCAATGGCTTTAAAGAAGGTAGAGAAACCAGTTCAAAAGTATTTGACAGGAGCTGTTGAGCTTGGCTGTGGACAATTGTAGTACTTTGTTAGAGTACACTGTGGTATCTCAGACCAAATCACTGATTATATGGAGAGATGACATTGCTCTTCCCTGATGGTCACGTCAATTTCTTTCTTCTGACATTTTTTTATACAGCTTCAAACACTGATTCAGGAGACTGACCCTGGTGCAGATTATCGCATTGATAGAGCTTTGAATGAAGCATGTGAATCTGTAATACAGACAGCCTGCAAACACATAAGATCTGGAGATCCAATGTAGGTTGTCTTACTTGTGATATTTGTCCATATTGTATTTGGCAGTTTGGCCCAGGGAACATTATTTTTGGGTGGTTTAACATCGAAATTGAAATTTTGTTAAACATAAGCACATACCAACTTGTAAGACTGTTGTTGAAATTGAGACTTTGGTTCTGCCTCATTCATCATGTAAATACCTAGACCCAGCATTGTGATTATATTTACTGGTAGCGACTGAGCATGTACAGACCTATACATTAGGTCATATAATGGTCCAATAGAAATGGGAGAAGCACTCAGGATAAAGTGACAGACACAGGCTGTGGCCCTAGATTTCTCATCCCATTTGTTCATTGAGTCATTGTGTACCTTGGCTACTTGATAATCATTAGAAAGTGGTTAATTATCGCTGAGCTGGAGAGCAAAATTTGGTGGTTGAAGGGGGTGGTGGTGGCTGCAGAATGAAGACTGGAGTTATATCCAAGATCTAGGGAAACTGTATAAATGCTAAAATAAAGTGTTTGGTTCAACATATTCGTTTTGCTCTGTGTGATATGAAAACAGGTCTTAAAACCTGGTTGTCAGTAGGAACAGGTTCCCCATTCTGCAAATATCTTTATAGTCTGCAGCTGGTGGTACCCAACAGTGAAACAAAGGCAGTCTGTGTTCACCATTATTCTGTACTGCAGAAACTCCTGCTTCCATGCTATGGTAGGGGATTTAAAGTGAGATGCTTCCTTAAAGCTTTGAGTAACTGAGAAGACAGACAGACACACTTAACACCAATTAATATTGATATAAAAACAAGTGCTTCAACCAAAAAGAGGGCAGAGGAGAGGGAGGGAGGAGAAACTAGTAAAGATTAAGACACTTAAGAGACATAGCAATCCAGTGCAATGTGTGAACTTTTTCTGGGTTCTCATTCAGACATAAAAAGATGATTGGGAGATGATTGGGAAAATTTGAACTGACAAGATATTATGTGATATTAAGAAAATGTCATAATTTCTTTCTGTGGAATAATGATATTATGTTCTCATATTTCAAAGAAACATGCTGAAGTATTTACAAATGAAATATGATTTCCAAATTTTTCTTCAAACTATCCAGCAGGAGAGGGAGACAATTAGCTTAAAACAAAATTGACCATAGGTTGATAAAGCTTGGGGAGGGGCAATTTTTAGATGATTCTCTATTGTTACACATGTCAGAAAATTTTCATGATAAAAATTTAAAATTAAAGCAGCTGTCACATATCTCATGTGAACTGAGTTTGTCAGTGCTTAGTGGCTCTGAAGTTGATATAAGGCATAATTTTCATCAGTTCAGTTGGTTTGAGAGATTTAAAAAAAAAAAAAAAATCTCTGATTGCCCTGGGAAAATAGCTAAATGGTTTTCTTTGGACCAAGGAAATAGTGATGTCATGAGAGTTCTAGGATGTCACTAGAACTCTCCTTTCTCATGTTATAAATTCCCCCTTTCCATGGCCAGGATCCTCTCATGCCTGATGGAACATTTATACACAGAGAAAATGGTGGAAGATTGTGAACACCGTCTATTAGAGCTGCAATATTTTATCTCTCGAGATTGGAAGTGAGTATTTTGAAGCCCAAGTAAGTGGAATTGACTCACTTTGCTCTCCTGCATATGTCAGTATTGTCTATATGTTTTCTAAATAATCGTTGTTGTTGTTATGTGCCCTTGAGTCAGACCCAACTCATAACGACCCCTCCTTGGGTTTCCGGGGCAGTATCACTGCAGAAGTAGATTGCCCAACCTTCCTTCTGAGGAGTAGCTGGTGGGTTTGAACCACCATCCTTCTGGTTAGCAGTCAAGTGCTTTGGGCACTGTGGTACCAGAGCTCCTTCTAAATAATTAGTAGGATATTATTTTTGTTAGTTTCTGAGATAGCTGACATCTTCTGATCAGAGTATAAAGATCTGTTCTTCAGTTGCCTTCAGAGCATTGTCTAAAAGCCAAGTTACCCCACTGCCAGTCCTACTACCAAATGTCCCAGTTCACCACTTAGAAATCAGGGTTAAACTTCTGATACCACCGTTATCCATCCAGAAAGAAGTCTGGTACCTGTGGGGATGGAAAAAGCCAGTCTTTAAGAACATAATCATCCATTTTTGTTTTCATTTTTGATTTGCAGCGGGTTTGGGTATTTGATTCTATTTCTTTAACTCTTCCAAGTTAATGAATTTATTCTATCTTAAAAGGTTCTTACCAATAAATTGATTCTCTTAATTCCATTCTCATCCTGCTAGTAGAAACAGAGAGGGATGACCTTGGGGTAGGATCTCTTTTCAGTATATAATTTATTATCTACTTTTTCCCTCCTTTTTCCTTGTCCTTCCCACCTCCAACACAACAGTAATGTATCAGGCTATTCTTCCTGCTTCCCAAGTTCAGCTGCTTCCTGATTCAGTTGGATAAACCAATGTGCTTAAGTCCTTACTTTTTTCCCCTGCTGATTTAATATATGTTTTATCCACGTTCTTTTCTAAAAAGAAATTATTTGAAAATTCCATGTGTTTTAACTTCTTTTCCCTGAAATGAAAGAGACTACGGAAAGCTGAGTGAGAATTCCCTATACTTACTCAGGCCAACAAAACCAAAATAACAAAAGGGTTTACTGCATAACTTCCTTCATCAAAATCATGCTTTTTCCGTCTTCTTTAATCCTTTCTCCTGTGGTTAAAATAATCTTCACAGTCTAAAAGCAACTCATTAAATATTAGGCTCTCTACTCCCATTACATAGCTCTCCCCAAAGCTGACAGCATAGTGTGGACAGAATTGAGCATCTCTTGGTCTAATATGGGGAAGTAGCAGGATCTTCCCTAATCTCTTGTCCTCGGATTCAAAGTTAAATGTCAGGTGTATTTGCTTATTTTTAATTGGTAAACTGAGATAACCTTAAAGTACAGCTGCCTGAAATGTCATAAGACCTTTTCTTGCGTGGGAAAAAAGAAGGGAAACAGTTTTACTAGAGAGGAAGTTCAGTGAGAGATTTAGTTTATCTTGCCATTTCTTAATTGTATTGAATCTACTATATCAGTTAGGATTGAACTTCATTCATGCTTAGAAAAAAGTATTTACTGAATAAAATGTTATAAATTGCATGATGGTGACTACAACCCAATTTTCTAATTTCAGCCGAGACATGGTTGTGCCGAGTGCAGTACTGTAATATTAGGTATCTTACCATAGCCAAAATAATATCTTTGAGGCAAGACTTAAATCTTCTGTAGTAAGTTTAAACTTTTAGAGATTTACCACTGTGTGTTCATTAAGAACAGAATTCCAAACTACTTTTTATATATGTGCTATCTCCTCTACCCTGGAGGCGATTAGCAATTTATATATATTGTAATAACTCTTTAGCGGGTTTTAGAATAAAAAGAAAGAAGAAAGTGGTTATCTTTTAACTCTTTACTTTATAGGCTGGATCCTGTCTTATACCGTAAGTGCCAGGGAGATGCATCTCGTCTTTGCCACACCCATGGTTGGAATGAGACCAATGAACTTATGATGACTCCTGGAGCTGTGTTCTCCTGCTTGTATAGACACGCATACCGCACTGAAGAACAGGGAAGGAGGGTATGCAGTCAGTGCTGACTTCATTTCTTCTAATCATCATGGATTTCTTTAATTAATTTGCTAAAACAATGTTCTAATTTCTGTCATCCTAAGAAAACATTTTACTGTGTCTAGTGGGGAGGGCAGTGCTGTACTACCAGAGACTTCTTCATCCAGTGAATGTACGAGGAGTTGCTCAGCTGGCTTCTTTCTGTCTGATATCTAACAAAGTGAGTGGGGGAGAGTCCCAGATTTTGTCCTTGCATTACCAAAGTCTGAATCACAGATGGAAAATTAAATTCTGCTGCCCTAATTTTATTTAGCTTTAAAGATTCATTAGGAGCTTTTAGCCAGGACACAAAAGGTTCTTTCTGCTTCGGCCCTTGGCAGCAGAAAACATGGTGCCTCTACTACAGAGGCGTCTCCGATGGTGCACTAGCTGGAGCATGAAACCTCCACATCTCATTGTTTGCCCAAACGCTACCTTTTTTGGGATTCTGTGTGTACTTGGCCCTCAGCAACACTTGCTGCCTTCTGGTACCACACTGTTCCACTTCGCTCTTCACGGTGGCCTTGTTTAAGGCTTCTGAGATACTTTATTACATTTCAGTTCTGCTTTTGTTACAGAAAGGAGAGAGGGAATTATTTCATATTCATGTTTATAAATACCCCTTCTGAGCTTAATGCAAAAATCATAAAAATGGTTAGGATTCCAAATCAAGAGACCCAAATGGAAAGGAATGTCGTACTTCAGCTCTTGTGTTCTTAAAGCAGTTTTTATACTACTCTGCAGGAGAATGTGGGAGTTTGTTGTTGCTTTTTTTCTTCATGTGATGAACCTCTCATTAACCACCTAAGCAAAAAAGACATTGCTGTCAAGTCGATTCCAACTCATAGCCACCATGTAGGACACAGTAGAACTGCCTCATAGGGTTTCCAAGGCTGTAAGTCTTTACAGAAGCAGCCTGCCTCATCTTTTTCCTACAGAGTAATGAGTGAATTTGAACCATCAGCCTTTTAGTTAACAGCCAGATGCTTTAACCACTGTGCAACCAGAGCTCCCTTCATTAACCACCAAAAAACAAACCAAACCCACTGCCATCAACTCAACTTCTTCTCACAGCAACCCCTGTAGGGTTTCCAAGGTTATAAAACTCTAGGAAAGGAGACTGCCTCATCTCTTTCCCACAGAGTGGCTGGTGGGATTGAACCACCAATCTTTTGGTTAGCAAGCCAACCATATGTCTTAACCACACCACTGTCAGAGTTCCTTTCATTAACCGCAGGAGCTCCTAAATTTTGGAATCTTGCCACTTACTTTAGTGGGAGTTTCCTTCCTTCTCTTGTAAATGGCCAAAAAGGAAGGATGAACTATTGGTGTGTCCCATGTTTTAGTCAGACTGACTATATAGTTAGTCTCTCTGACTAAAACGTCAATGACAGCTTTCTCCCAGCCCTGTCAGCAATATTAGTTTCCACTGACTTCACCTTCTGCTAATTCTACATTACCCACTTACGAAAGTCTGGTCGTGGCCTGTAGTAATTGTTGCTTCTACCATTTCCTGCTTGTTCTTTCTGAGTTTAAGTCATTTTGAACTCTGTTCTTCTGAAAGTGTATATTTTTTGTCCTGAGCTGGATCTAGCTTTCTACTCTACATTGAGTGGAAAACTACTTTTTCTAAACAAAAATTCTCCAGCAAACCTGGTCTGAACGAATCCAGGTTACTTTTATTCGGGCACTCAGAAAAGGATGTGGTTTCATATAGTATATTAGAAAATGCTGAACATAAAATTCATTCCTTGTGATAGTGGTTTTTCAGAATCTTCCATTTTAGGAGGAATAAATTCTTATTTGGAAGAGATTGAAGGTATAAAGTTTGAAAGGTATAAAGTTTACAAACTATAAAGTTAGTTATTAGTTGCCTAATGACAGGTTTGGTCCTTCCAGTGTTTTGTTTTTTTTTTCCCAGTTGTTTTTGTTTTGCACCTTCTTTAGGTATTTTGTTTGTTCTTTCTCACTTAGCTCTCGCGGGAGTGCCGGGCTGAAGTCCAGAGGATCCTGCACCAACGGGCCATGGATGTGAAGCTGGACCCTGCCCTCCAGGATAAGTGCCTGATTGACCTGGGGAAGTGGTGTAGTGAGAAAACAGAGACTGGACAGGTGGGAGTCTTAGCTACCTGTGTATCTTACAATATTATTGTTAATGATTAACATTCTATATAGAGAACAGTCACTGTGAAGTCCATCTCTGCGTTTATTTTTTGGGTGTGATTTATTACGTTATTCAATGTTGTCTTTATAAGAAATTCTTGAGAAAAATGTGGCCTATCTCTAGTGAGTACATAAGATTTCATGGTGGGCATTTTGTGCAGTAGTAGCTCTACTTTCCTTAATGTCTTTCCCTTTTCTTTCCTCTTTTACACATTTTTAATTCATTTAATCTTTTTTTTTTTTTTAATTCATTTAACCTTGCCTTTTTTTCTCTCTTTCACTTTTATAAGCTGCATTAAATCCTTTTGAGATGAGGCAGCGTATAAATATGTACATATATACGTAAATAACTGGTGTACATAAATAAATGGTATGAATGCCTTAGAATAGTCCTATAACATACATAAACCAATACCAAGCTCACTGCTATTGAGTCAAACCTGACATAGCAACTCTTCCTTGGGTTTCCAAGGCGGTATCATGACGGAAGTAGATTGCCCAACCTTCCTTCTGAGGAGTGGCTGGTGGGTTTGAACTGCCTGCCTTCTGGTTAGCAGTCAAATGCCTTAGGGACTATGCTACCAGAGCTCCCATAACATACATAGGAATGGCATTATTTTTTCCATTTAGTAACTGACAATATTGAGGCTCAGAGAAGTGAACTGTATTGACTGTATTCTTTCCATAATAATATCAGAAATGGAGGGGAGGAGCAGCACCCAAGAATTACATGCATGCTGTGAATAGTGCCTTAGGATTTTATGCCTACTTTTAAAATTAAAAAAAATGCATTATTGCATTCCAGCAAATTAAGTGGGACTGTAATGTCATATGTCTTAAGGCAGGTGCACCAAGCAGTGAGGAATAGCTATTTATGTAAAGCCCCATTGGTGCTAGAACCAGAAGTGAACTCAGGTTTCCAGGAACTCACTGCCGTCGAATCTGTTCTGACTTATAGCGACCCTTCCTTGGGTTTCAGAGGCAGTATCTCTACCGAAGCAGATTGCCCAGTCTTCCTTCAAAGGAGTTGCTGGTGGATTTGAATAAATAGGATTTTTTTACTTACTCGTTTATTTTATTCTCAAAAGTTTGATGCATTTTCTTTATGGCTTTTCCCCCCTCTCTGGCTGTTGTATAATTCCTACAACCCCTCACCTCCCTTCTCATTCTAATTTTGAAACAGATTCTTGTAGAATAATAAGTTAAACTTAATCCCTAACAGAGAACTTGGCTGAGCAAACGGGAAGGTGAGCTGATGTTATACTTAAAACCTCTGTAAGAAACGGTAATAAACTGGTATTGTGAGATTACCCTCCTACCCTCACCCTCAGATCCCAAAGTCCAGAAGAGATAGCTTTTAGATACACACTCTCTGGTGTGATTGTTTCAGAATTTCCCTCACAGGATCCTTTCTTATGGGCAAGGGTTATCATCTCTGAGCTCTGTGCTGTGTTACAGACCTGCTTCACCCATGTGGTCCTGACCTGCTTCACCCATGTGGTCCTGACCTGCTTCACCCATGTGGTCCTGACCTGCTTCACCCATGTAGTCTGAAAAGAATTCGTTTTTTTTCATTATGAATTTCTTGTCCAGTGGTCATTATTTAAATACAGGTATAAAGTAGGAGGTAAAGATGATCAAAACACAGATTAACAATGGTGTTTAAAAAAACCAAACTCACTGCAGTTGAGTCAACTCAACTCATAAGGACCCTTCCTTGGGTTTCTGAGGTGATATCTCTACAGAAATAGATTGCCCAATCTTCCCTCCAAGGAGTGGCTGGAGGGTTTTGAACCTCCAGCCTTCTGGTTAACAATCAAATGCTTTAGGCACTACACCACCAGAGCTCCTAACGATGGTTTAAATGAAGTGAAAGTAACGGCCTTATAAGATTTTTAAACTGATCACACCTGCAAGCCAGCTTTTGGTGGACTTAAGAAATGTGACCTTCTATGGGTTGGGCATTCCTACTTCCATAGTGATACTGCCTCGGAAACCCAAGGAGGGGTCACTATGAGTTGGGGCCGACTCGATGGCAAATAACAACAACAACAACAAGGGGTTTTGCAAGACTATTTTACCCTCTTACCCCTCTTAACTACCCTGTTACATCAGGCACTTATCTTTTCATCAGCCTTCTTGGGGAGAATCAAATAAAGCTTTGATTTCTGTTCATTGAGGTATATTTGTTTAAAAAGAAAAGAAGAACCACCCGAAAGGAAGTAGACATTGGTGTCTCAGATTCCCTTGATGATTTACGTAACTCACAAACACCAGGAGATTTCCTTTTTCTTTGCAGGAGCTTGAGTGCCTCCAGGATCATCTCGATGACCTGGCTGTGGAGTGCAGAGATGTAGTCGGCAACCTCACAGAGTTGGAGTCAGAGGTAAGCAGTTTGCAGCTCACAGGACAGCGCTCTGTCCACAGCCTTCCCTTTGTCCTTAGTTCTACTGTTCCTAGACTCTGGAGACTGCACATTTTCTATGAAGCAAAAGAAACCTAGTCATGCTCTCCTCGCTTGCTTTCTAAAGATTTCTATGTTGCTTCCTGGATCCCTTCTCTTGTTCCTTCAGAAAAACATATACATTAGCCCTTTGGTTTTCTTAATGAGCTAGAGTTATACAGTGATTGGACCTTTTTTCCCCTTCAGAAAAGATAGCAGTTATCCTTCCCCTTATGTAAAGTTAACATTTCAGATCTCTTACTCACATTCAAGAACTGTCCAAGCATTACTGTTTTCTTATCCTTAGCTCTTCTAGGAAGGTCATTTGAGAGGAGGAAGTAGGAAAAGAACTTGTTACATTATGGGGAATTACAGTTAGTATCATGAGACAAAATGTATATAAACTGCTGTATGGAAAATGAATTTGCTCTGTAAACTTTCACCCAAATCACAATTTAAAAAATTTGAAAAATAAATACCTAAAATTAAAATAAATTAGGAAGGTCATTTGGTAATGTTTGCATGTTTAATAAAATAAAAGCCTGAGAATTTGAATTAAACATGGAAGATTGAATACATGTTTCTCTTTTTCATCTTGTTGTTGTTTGCCGTCGAATCGGCCCCGATTCATAGCGACCCCTCCTTGGGTTTCCGAGGTAGTATCACTACGGAAGTAGGATTGCCCTTCCTTCCGAGGAGTGGCTGGTGGGTTTGAACCGCCAGCCTTCTGGTGAGCAGTCAAGTGCCTTAGGCACTATGCTACCAGAGCTCCTTTTTCATCTTAAAACTCAGTAAAATATTAAAGATTGATTTTAAAAACTCTACACTTACAAGGACAGTAATAATGAAGGAGGAGGTGACAGAAGAAAAGACAACAAACTTCTGAAAACTCAAAAGCAAAACAAATGGACTTGTTGAAGAGCTGATTATGGAAGAAACCAACCTCAAGTGCATTTTCCTCTCTGTGCAGCTGCTCCCCATCCTGCCAGAGGAGATCTCTTCACTGAAGAAGGTGGCAGAGGGATTCTGAGTGAGGCACAGTGGGGAGCAGGGGAGATATGTTGAAAACAGTGAGGTTTATGGAACGTATTATTTGAATTGTCAAATTGGCAATACGTGGAATTACATTGGTGGTATGTAACCCTTTGCAGGAAGATGTTATTTTTATCAGCTCGTGCTACACAGGGATTACTCTGGTTAAAGGCATTTTGTTGTGTCTGTTCTCCAGAGACAGCAGTTTGTCATCTGATTTGAGGGCAATGATCTGGTTTATAAGCTTATAAACTAAAGATAGATGTCATAGTTACCCCTGTTTTTGCATTTTGAACTGTGTAGCATTTTGGAAAAACTCCAAAGTCTTTACAGAGTCTGATGATACTGTTAAATATTTTCAAACCTCACCTTTTCTTAATTCTGCCTTCTCTCTTATTCAGGCGCAAGAGGAATCTAACTCAGGAATATTTTACCTTTCAAAATACAGTATAGGACCAATTCTGTCTGTCCTGGAGCTATTTCATTTAAATATTAGAATGGTTCCCAAATATATGTATTAGATTAGGTACCCATCGCATATTACTGATTCAGAAAAAGAAACTGTTCCTCCTCCTCCCACCCCCTTCCCTCTGACTTTGACTCTTTCTAAATTGGAATTACTAATATCTTCAATTTTCTATAGGATATTCAAATAGAAGCCTTGCTGATGAGAGCCTGTGAGCCCATAATTCAGAATTTCTGCCATGTAAGTGATGTTTGGAGAAACAAGGGTTACAGGCAGAACCAAATTCATTGAGACTCGCCCCCAAGTGTGTTGGACCTATCTCTGTCTTCAGCATATGTCACTCCTGAGTGATAGCCAGCTTTGACAAGTTAAAAGTTGAAAGTGAAAACAAGATCAAGGGAGAGGTGCCACCATCCTGGGCCAACCTTATTTGATTATCCTTTGTAAGTGGCCAGGTATGTGGTTGGCAGCAGTTGTCGAGATGCCCTTTGTAAGAAAAATGGAACAGGGAAGCCCCTATTAACTTGGCTAAGTGGCTTCTGCTATATCAGTCCAGAATTTATTACCAGTAATAGTGGTTTCCCCTTCCACCTATGGCTTTCCAACTCAATGCTGAGTGAAGTCTCTTGCTTTCTTACTTTATTCACATATTGAACTACCTAAATTGTGGGAGTGAGACACATTGTGAACCATATGGTCTGACAGCCCGGAGACTTTGTTAGATGGCCCAAAAGCCAGCTGCTGGCATCATCTAAGGAAAGGAATTCGAACACTGCAGACTGCTTATTCTTGTTGGGGTATCATGCAGAGTAATGTGAAATGTAAATTTTAGTCCACTCAGTGTTTATTTTAAACATTTAAACATTGTTTAGGCTTATTTTAAAACAACTTATGATGTATCTTGCTTGCCAAGGCCTCTAGAATTGTATTGTCCATGGATTGGGGTCCAGGTTTTGTTCATTAACTGTTACAAATGAGTGGAAATGTGCACTGCCTTCCTCAGGATGTGGCAGATAACCAGATAGACTCTGGAGACCTGATGGAATGTCTGATACAAAACAAGCACCAGAAGGATATGAACGAGAAGTGTGCCATTGGAGTTACCCACTTCCAGCTGGTCAGTAACTTGGCATTGACTTCCTGTGTTGGCTGCTTACCTCCCCTTTCAGAACATCACAGCACTTCTTCTGGGAAGTCATATATCCAAACATATATCCTTTTGAGTTTGTTACTGTTGAAAATATACACAGGAAAACATACACCAATTCAACAATTTCTAAGTATACCATTTAGTGACATTGATTACTTTCTTTGAGTTGTGCAACCATTTTCACCCTTCTTTTCTGAGTTGTTGGTCCCTCATTAACATAAACTCACTGCCCCCTAAAGTTCCTATAGATTCCTTTGAGTTGCTGTTGTTAATTTGATCCCATGTAAATAGTTCTTCAAAGAGCACCGTGCTCAAGGCAAACCGTTTTTTTTACTAGTGAAGCTAAACTGCTGTTTGGTCGTAAGATGCCTTCAGGGGAGATTTTTGGTTTAAGGTTTAAAGATTTTCTCAGACCAGAAGAACTAGATGGTGCCCAGCTACCACTGCCATCCACTTGGAAGGGATGTAGGAGATCCTGCATAAAGAGGGAGAACAATGTGGAACAAAACTCAAAATCATTTGAAGCCAAAAAAAAAAAAAAGAAGGGGGGGACCAGGTTTGCTGGTCCAATAGAGCCTGGTGTAACCACTGAGACTATGGCCCCTAGCTGCCCTTCAGGTCTGGCATTGAACCCACAACTGTGGTTTCCAGCCAAACAAAGTACAGGCATGTGAGTTAAACATTTACCTCAAGTAGACACACGCCCTGGAGAGAACAATCATGGGAGAAGGAAGGGCTGCTTATGCACGGGGAGATAGCTCAGGGTGCAGAAGAGTATGAAGGGATGGACACTGGGAGGAGGTAACTAAGGGGAGGAAGTGGGAGGGGAGCTGCTGCATTGTAAATTTTGGTCAATGACATGAGACAAAGTATATGTGAACTGCTGTATGAAAAGTGAATTTACTCTGTAAATCTTCACCCAAATCCTAATTAAAAAAAAAAAAAAAAAGGTCAAAGATTTTCTCAGGGCAATAGTTTCAGGGGTTACCAACCCTCCATGGCTCTGGAAAGTATAGGGTCCCTGAGAATTTGAAAGTCCATTCTGCATTTTCCTTTTTTGACTAGAGTCTTTGATCAAAGTGTTTTGTAGTGATAGCTAGGCACCATCCCTTTCTTCTGGTTTCATGGCAGAAGCAGTTGTTCAGGAAGGCAAGCAGGCATACATTCCATATCCTCCTCCTATTTCTGACTCTCTTCCTTCATTAGGTATTCTGTTAACGGTTAGTGGGGTCTGTTAATTTGTGTTACTGTTCACTGCAGTGGCCCAAATGTGTGTCAGTGCACTGTATATGTTAAGGCTTTTTTTCCTTTAAAGCATACTATCCAGGTCTAAACCAAACCAGCTAAATGCACTGCCATCAAGTCAATTCAACTCGACTCATAGCAACCCCTCCTTGGGTTTCCAAGGCAGTATCTCCGCAGAAGTAGATCGCTCAATCTTCCTTTTGAGGAATGGCTGGTGGGTTTGAACTGCCAGCCTTGTGGTTAGCAGTCAAATGCCTTAGGTGCTCTGCCACCATAGCTCCCAGATCTAGCATTTGAGTAAGAAGTCAGACCATACACTTCATAGCTATCACATTTCTAAAGGAAGTATTTCTGGTACAGTAAGTACTTCCTTCCCAGGAAGCAGAAATAGGTTATCTTTGTTAAATTTACCTCTTCTTGGAACATGTAACATGTAGTATACCCAACTTCAGCGGTTTGTGCATTCATTGTTACTGAGTGTCTTCCAAGTGCATGGTGAAACATGTAAAACCCCTGCCCTCATGGACTTTGTATTCTTATTAGAGAAAGACATTAAAAACAAGGTTGCTGTTGTAAGGTGCCATCAAGTTAGTTCTGATTCATAGCGAACCTTGTATACAACAGAATGAAACTCCTGGTCCTTGACCATCCTCACAATCCTTGCTATGTTTGAGTCCATTCTTGTGGCCACTGGGTCAGTCCCTCTTGGAAAGGGTCTTCCCCTTTATGTTGACCCTCTGCTGTACCAGGTCATGACACCCTTCCCCAGGGACTCCTCCCTCTTGATGGAAGGTGAAGTCTTGCCATCCTCACTTCTAAGGAGCATTCCAGCTGCACGTTTTCTGAGACAAATTTGTCCATTGTTCGGGCAATCCATGGTGTATTTGAATATGCTTTGCCAACACCATAATTCCAAGGCATCAGTTCTTCTCATTCTTCCTTCTTCATTGTCCAGCTTTCACATTCATGAAGTGTTTGAAAATACTCAGGCTTGGGACAGGTGCACCTGTGACATCTTTGCCTTTTAACACTTTGAAGAGGTTACAAATAAATATATAATCTCAGGGGATTCTATGAAGAAAAATAAAGGGATGCAGGGTGAAGGAGAAAGAGGGCTTCAAAGGGAGGCATTTGAATAGAAACCTCAAGGAAGTGAGGAAGCAAACCTTGCAAACATCTGGGAAAAGAGTCTTTCAGGCAAAAGGAACAGCATGTGGGTGATTGGAATAATGGAAGCCAGGGTTCCTCAGAAAGGTGTAATGGGGAGATTGGAAGGTAATAAAGTCAGAGAGAGATGGGGCAAGTTGTGCAGAGTCTTAGGAGTAGTCTTCAGAAAGCTGTAGGAATACGTAGTCACCCACACTACTGACAAGAACTCACCACTGAGTTGCTGATTTTCTTTCTTACCTTTCAGGTTCAGATGAAGGATTTTCGGTTTTCTTACAAGTTTAAAATGGCTTGCAAGGAGGATGTGTTGAAACTTTGTCCCAACATTAAAAAGAAGTATGTGATTTCTAATTGATCGTCCTGCTTCCTCCAGGTCTCTCTGACCCGTTGCCATCGAGTTGTTTCTTATTCACGGCAACCCCCGTTGGGTTTCTGGGGTGGTAAATGTTTACTAAAGTAGATTACCCAGTCTTCCTTCCGCCAAGTAGCTGGTGATTTAAACCACTAGTCTTGGTAGCATTGAGATGCCCTAGACACTGTGCTACCAGAGCTCTTTAAGTCTCTCTTGTTGTTGTTATGTCAGAGTAGACTCATTGCTACCCCTCCTTGGGTTCCCGAGGCATTATCACTACTGGAGTAGATTGCCAAACCTTCCTTCTGAGGAGTGGCTCTCTTAGCTACTGAGTACTCCAGGATATCTGGCAACCTCCTATTGTCTAGCAGCCTTAGCCCTGGGGACTTTCTACATATCTCCTTTGATAAGGTGGCTGAATACTTGGATTATCTGCATAGATAATCTTTATAGCCACCTAGAGACACAGCTGCTAGTAAGTTTTTATGTAGAGAGCCCAAAGGCTAAAGGAGCATTTTTAATTTCTGCAGGTTCAGGTTATCTAACTGATAGTTTGTGTACTTAGAGAAGCAAGTTACTGTGTGAGTGAAAGTGGTTACCTGATTTCCTCCTAATAAAATTTCCTTATGTCATTTTCCAGGAAGCAGCAAAGGCTTATATTGAGTTATCTAGTGAAAAAACAAAAACTTTATTCATTTAAGAATTAGGTCTTAATGAGGAGAATGATAAACTTTTAAAAGCATGGCTGCCCAAATTCTTCCATGTTGCTCTTTGAAAAGGCATGTTTCTAGAACACACTTACCCTCCTATAAACCAAGTTCCCATTTTACTCAGGTTTCTGTATTTCTCAGAAATGAGTTTTACACTGTCAGAGAGACACAGTCCCAGAGTTGAGGGCAGCATTCCTCTGTAGGCATGTGTTTTTAACAAAGCAGGTTTTGAACAATCCTTGCACACATGTCCCTCTCTGGCCTCCCCTCCAGTCAGGAATGTTTTCAGCTTTCAGGTTGCTGCCTGAGTTTTAGGACATATACAGTCAAATAAATGCTGCTGTTAGCGCTCTAAAAACCAATGAGAGTGACAGGAAAAGACATTCAAAAGCATGATAAAGTGGGCCATGAATGCTGGTTGATGGCGTGGCCGCCCCCCAACCCAGCCTCTCCCTTCACATATCTCCAGCCAGTCTGACTTTCTCATTTCCTTGGCAGGGTGGACGTGGTGATCTGCCTGAGCACCACTGTGCGCAATGACACCCTACAGGAAGCCAAGGAGCACAGGGTGTCCCTGAAGTGCCGCAAGCAGCTCCGCGTGGAAGAGCTGGAGATGGTAATGTCTCACAGCTTCCGTTCCAGGAAATCACAGGGCAGGGATTTGAGGGAGTTGGATGACGGGCTAGAACAAATAATGAAACTATAGCCACTATTGGGGTAGTTAAGACTTGGAACCTTGTGCTAAAATTTTACCATCTGTCAATTAGTTTCTTGCTTCACTTTTCTTTACATCAATAAAGATAATTTATTTTTTCTTTATCTTACATAATTAGAATTTGAGCTTTAAGAAAGGCTGTAAGAATGTGGTCCATTTATTGGCTCAATAATGTCTTCAAGGATAGAGGTTCTTCCTCTCTCCACTCTGCTGTCCTTGGGATCAGCTTCATCCATAGGCTGGTTTCCCTCATCACAACATGACTGCCTGTTATAGTTGGGCCACCTGCTCTATTATTCATATCCAGCGGGAAAGAAAGATAGAAATAAACCTCCTCCCACCCTGAAGTAAAAATTCATTCCTTCAGGTTGAGTAGGAATGGTTAGCTTGGGGTTTTTCCCACTTGCTGACCATAACAATCTCTGGGAAATGCCATGCTGTGATTAGCTTACTGATCAAGGTGACATGGATATTGGGAAAGCAGCTAAAAGATGTACTACTGTAGGAGGAAACTTTTTTGAGGTTAAACTCGTGTTAAGAAGAAAGCTAAGAACTGTTCTTATTATGGTTTCTACTGTGGATCGTACTCATTTCACCTCAGTCTGAACAAAAAAAAAGAAAAATAGAAGATTAAACTTAATTTCTCAAATGTTGTATTATCAGATTTTCACATGCAGTGGCAGTGATCCAGTCATGGTTCTGTGTAAGTGGAGCTGACCTATTTTACTGTTACACAGATATGTTTCCAGCTAGAGGCTTTGAGTCCTAGCTATGTTTGCAGCTCTTTCTGTAAAAGAGTACTAGTAGAACCCTACATTTACATAATAGTTTTAACTGTCTAAAGTGATTTCCACATATGTTGTTTCATCTCACAAGCAGTCCTGTGAAGAGGAGTAAGTAGTAGCATTTCATTTTGAAACAAGGTCCAAGTATTTCTAGCTATTAGTGGCAGAACTGAGAGTAAAACCCCATTATCTATGTTGAACCACTCTGCTGCCAGTTTGCTGTATGAAAATTGAAGTCACTGGACAAGATCCAGCCAGCAAATAAATATGTAGAGCATTTGACATCTCCAGCTTAAAATGAACTCTCTTCTCCATGCTGGCTCCCTCACTCAGACAGAAGACATTCGTCTGGAACCAGATCTGTATGAAGCCTGCAAGAGTGACATTAAGAACTACTGTTCCACTGTGCAGTATGGCAACGCCCAGGTAACTTTATTCTTGTTTTTTAACAATAAAAGTGGAGGTAACATTTTCATCATTACTTCTTCACTGGTTGACAGGTCTCAGCATTTCTTACCCACAGCTTGTCTGTCCAACCTCATCATCCCTTCTTAAGTCAAGCCAGACTGTTTTTCAATTCCCAACGGAGTTCTCTACCTGCCCTCCTTTGTCTCTTACTCATTTCTTTCTTTGTTTCATGTTTGCTTTCCCCATCATTTCTGCCTAATAAGCTAAATCATTCCTCAAATGCCTGCTCTTCATAGTTTTCCCAACAGTATGTTCCCAATGCATGGAAATTCTTAACTAGAGATCACAGAGTAAATAACCTATGGATTTTTTTTCCCTCCTGAATGCACAGAACAGCCCGTACCCTTAAATTCTGGGAATGAAGGGCAAGCAGGTAGTTTGTTTTTGTTTTTTGCTTTTCTTGTGTTACTCCTTCTAGTTAAGGGCATTGCCATGGTGCTTTAGCTTTTGAGATAATGGCTTTATTGTCTCCTTGTGTCTAATATTGTTGATACAAAGTCTCATGTCAGTCTGATTCTCATTTTCTGTAGGTAATCTACAGAGTCCTCTAATTTCACTGTGCTGTGATTAAATCTGAGTTTTGTTTTATTTATCCTGGTTATTAGCCTTGTCTTTCAGTCTCAGAATTTCTTCAGTTCTTGGAAATTCTCAATCATTATTCATTCAAATATTATCTTCTTTTTTGGAATTCTTATTAGACAGCTGGATCATATGAATCTTTCCCCCATGTCTCTTAATTTTTTCTTTCGTGTTTTCATTTCTTTGCCTCTTTGTGCTTCATTGTGGTTTGTCAGTTCCATTTCCCAGATTGAAAACTTATTTATTTCAGCTCTGCCCATTCTGCTCTTTAGAGAGACCACCAATTGAATTTTTAATTTGGGTGATTATATTTTTTAGTTCTAAGATTTCTACTTGGTTCTTTCCGTAACTACTTGTTCTTGATTCCATCTTACTTATCTCATCTTATATTTCTCAAAGGTTATTAAATATATTTTTTGAATTCTCACTTTGATTGCTTTTTCCCCTCAATTTTGTATCCTTTATTGTACTTATTGTTTGTCTTATGGTATTAGCATTCCCCAACTATTCAAGGAGCTCTGTCAGCGTGGTGCCTAAGGCACTTGACTGCTAACCACAAGGCTGGTGGTTCAAACCTACCAGCCACTCCTCGGAAGGAAGGTTGGGCAGTCTACTTCCATAGTGATACCGCCTCGGAAACCCAAGGAGGGGTCACTATGAGGCGAGTCTGACTTGATGGCACGTATCTAGTCAGAGTTCTTGCTCCAGGCCTATGCAGAAAGCCTAATGTACGCTCCAAAGGGAATCTTGAAAAGGGGCATCTCTAGAGGGCAGATGAAACCAGGAATCCCAAGTGCATTTCTGTCCCTTCGGACTCCAGTGCAGCCTGCTCCTCATCTGTAATTTATATATAGTTTTGTTTATTATTAGCCCTAGGCTTGTGGGTTAATAAGTGTAATTCTCCTTGGTGAGGAAATCTTGATTCCCATTGCCTGGGAATTAGAAATGAAAGGTACTTGGATAGAAAAATGAGGGGAGGCTCCCTAAGAGAACTGAATACTTCACCATCAGAATACATGAGTTACCAATCCCTGGCACACCCCTCAACTTGACTGCACTTCTTATGCCATAGATTATTGAATGTCTGAAAGAAAACAAGAAGCAGCTAAGTACCCGTTGCCACCAGAAAGTATTTAAGCTGCAAGAGACAGAGATGATGGACCCGGAATTAGACTATACACTCATGAGAGTCTGCAAGCAAATGATAAAGGTAAGGCATCAGAACCAAGTGCTGAGTAAGTAAAGGTAAGTAAAATGACGACAGCAACATAAACTGCTTAGAAGTTCAGAGGATATATATATAAACCTTCCAATTTCAGCCTCTTTTATACAGCTAAGACAGTGTTTCTCAGAATGTGGTCCCTAGACACACAGCAATAGCTCCTTGGAACTTGAAGATTCTTTGGTCCCACCCCAGATCTACTGAGTCAGAAACTCTGAGAGAAGAGCAGGCAGTCTGGTTGAAGGAGCCCTGCAGGTGATGCTGATGTGTGCTCATTAAGAGTACCCTGAGCGAAGATGACTTCGGCCCAGGCTTCGTTTTGGCTTGACTTGCTGCTGAGAATTTGCCTTTCCACCCTAGATATACTGAATTGGAATCTAAATTTTAACAGAATCCCCAGGTGATCCTTACAGATTCTGATTCAGTATACCTGGAGTAGCATACTTACAGTTTGGCCTGAAGTACAAGGAAATGATTGTCCATATTGGGAGGTTAAATGGTAAGTAGGTATACTAAGAATGCTCCTGTTGAGCATCTTGATCATCCATCTACTTGAGATTTTTTTTCCCAAAATTTTTATTGTGATTTTGGTGAAAGTTTACAGAGCAATTCATTTTCCATGCAACAGTTCATATATACTTTGTCTCATGATACTGACTGTAATCTCCCACAGTGCAACAGCTCTCCTCCTGCTTCCTCCCCATAGCCACCTCTTTCCTGTGTCCTTCCCTCCCATGCACTCCTGCCCCCTGAACTGTCTCCCTGTGTATATTCTTCCATGATTGATCTCTCCAAGGAGTGTATCTGTCTAATGTAAATGTTCAGCTCATATGCCTGTCATATTGTTTGGCTGGAAGCCACAGAGGTGGGCTCAATTCCAGACTTGAAGGACAGCTAGGGGCCATAGTCATCTAGTCCTTGGACTAATAGTTTCCATGCATCTTTGGTTTTCTTCATTCTTCTCTGCTCTGGACAAGAAGAGATGCATTGTTGCATCTAGATAGCTGCTTGCAAGCTTGTACAATCCCGGTCACTACTCGCCAAAGAAGGATGTGAAACAATGTTTTTGTGTAATATGTTATGCCAGTTGAGCTTGATGTCCCTTGTGACCATGGCCCTGAGCTCACAGGTCCAACTATTCACTCCCTCCAGGTGGCTAGTTGTAGCCAAGAAGTGACTACAACCATGTCTCTTGTCAGCTCTACTCCATACCTGGAAATTCTTACAGAACATCCAAGTACACGTGTAGAAATAACTGCCTGCCAGCCCTATTCTTGGTCATGGGCACACTCCCCCCTGCATAGATATACTTAATCGTGCAGCCTGTCCACCCATCTGTCCACCTGTAGATCAATGTTTGCCATCACTGACAACGCAGTACTGTATGTGCAAAAGGGTTTTGTCTTTGTTTTCTGTACTTTACGTTCACCTTTCTATGTCTTCCTCTTCCTCTGTGCCACCATGTTGATCCCTATGAAAGAGAACTTTGTACCCTACAGGTTGTTCTGTTTCATTTATTCCTCCAGTGAATGTTCTGTATCAAGGCTGAATGGAGTACCTAGATTTAAGTTCCATGATCTAGCCACATATACATGGACAAATTTACAGTCCTTATGCCTTACTTCAGCTGTTCTTTAAAATAACATTCTACTTTTCACCCGATCAAATACATTCTAAACATGGTTTGAAAGTTACAGATTTGAGAAAGCTCTGTAAGAATTTGATGGCTTTTATAAAAACCAGCATGCAAGCAGCCATCTAGATGCATCGATAGGTCTCTCCTCATCCAGAGAAAGAAGAATGAAGAAAACCAAAGATTCATGGAAACAATTAGTCCTAGCAACTGGTACACCATGCGATGTGCAGCCTATACGACTATGAGACCAGAAGAACTAGATGGTGCCTGGCTACCAGTGTCACCAACTCGGAGAGGGATCTATGTAGGAGATCCTGGATAGAAAGGGAGAACAATGTGGAACAAAATTCAAAATCATTTGTGGGGTGAAAAAGGGGGACCAGGTTTGCTGGTCTGATAGAGCCTGGTGGAACCACTGAGACTATGGCCCCTAGCTGCTCTTCACGTCTAGAATTGAACCCACACCTATGGCTTCCAGCCAAACAAAAGACAGGCAAATGAGTTGAACATTTACCTAAGGTAAATACACTCCTTGAAGAGAGCAATCATGGGAGAAAGAAGGGCTGTTTATGCACAGGGGACAGGAGTGCATGGAGGGATGGACACAGGGAAGAGGTAACTATGGGGAGAAAGTGGGAGGGGAGCTGTTGCATTGTGGTAAATTGTGGTCAATGTCATGAGATAAAATGAATATGAACTGCTGTATGGAAAGTGAATTTTCTCTATAAACTTTCATCCAAATCACAGTTAAAAAAGAAAAAAATCAATCAGCAATCTAAGTTCCCATAATAAGATATCAGTTGATTATAATCATGTACACATCAGCGAATTGGAAACAGAGCACTCGGAAAGGAGGCTTGATACTCAAAGGTCTCCTTCAGAGTTTATCAGGCACTGTGACATTTAGAGATTAGTAGTTTAGCAAGTTGAGATGAGTTCATTACTAGTCTAAAATGAATCTCTGACCTAAAGGACAGTAATAAGTACATAGGGGCTAGCCTCACAGTGTTTGGTAGGATTTTAGCCCTAGAAGTTAAAGAGATGAACCAGACTGGACCCTTACCTACATTCTTTTTCACATTGGTTAGCGAGTAATTCCTAGATTTTATCCCTGAGGTTGGGTAGATATATCTTGAGGGTTATATGGTCACCTAGTACAATGTTATACTCATGCTTAAACAATATTTAAGCCCATAAGAGACCATGTAATTTACCAAGCCAGCTAGGTAGAAGAGCAACCTACTGTTTCCTCTGCAAAATAGGAATTAGATGGCGGAGAAATACATGATAGACCAAGGTTTTTTTTTTTTTTTTTTAAAAAAAAAAAAAAAAAGACAGGCTTGGGGCCAGGTGCTCTTTCAGGCTTAGCCAATTCTCTGGTACCTAGTGAAGCTGCTGCTTTCCTAAGCTTTCCAGTAGATCTAAGAGCCATCTTAGATGGTACTAATTATCATATTTGAATAAGTGTATTGCTTTCTTCATTTGCAGAGATTCTGTCCCGAAGCAGACTCTAAAACTATGTTGCAGTGCTTGAAGCAAAATAAGAACAGTGAGCTGATGGATCCCAAGTGCAAACAGATGATTACCAAGCGCCAGATCACCCAGAACACAGGTAGCTGGCTCTCCTGGTGCCACTGGGCATGCGCTGAAATGGGATGCAGTGGGCACAGACTGACCTCATTAAGCTACACGTGCCCATGAGTTTTAAGGGCAACAGTCTGGGTGTCAGCAAAGTGGCTTATTCCTCCTTTGAAGAGGATCCAAAAGAATGAGAGGGAAGTCAAAGGAAATAAGAGGCTAGAAATAAAAGAGAAAACTGCCCTTGAAGGGCCTACCAAAGGAGTCAGACTTTAGTGTCCCCTGCAAAGAAACACCTAGAGACTTAAAAAATTTCATGCAGGTAGTAGGAGAATATTTGGGTAATCTGTTTTAGAGCTGTGAGTTGCAAGACCTTGTAACTTAATGGGCAAGATCTGTTAGACCTTTTCTTCTAGGTGTTTTCCAGTGTATTAGTTGTGGGGAGGTGGTGGGCATCTGCTTCATTTCTCTGAGCATTACTTTATCACATGCTTACCACTTTCTGCTCTAGATTACCGCTTAAACCCTGTACTAAGGAAAGCCTGTAAAGCTGACATTCCTAAATTCTGTCATGGAATCCTGACTAAGGCCAAGGATGATTCCGAGCTAGAAGGTCAAGTCATCTCTTGCCTCAAGTTGAGATATGCCGACCAGGTAAACTGGCTTGTGCTCTCCACAGAGATGTATGTATGGCACCAACCCTGCCCCAGCAAATTTTCTCTTTTGAAGTCCCTGGCTTGCTCCTACTTTTCCAAAATCTTTTGTATACTATGCCAACCCAGAGGCTAAGAGGCCAAATAAAAAATGGAAATTTTCTAACAGGCTGATTTGTGCACTTTCTCATATGTAGCGCCTGTCTTCAGACTGTGAAGACCAGATCCGGATTATCATCCAGGAGTCTGCTTTAGATTACCGCCTAGACCCTCAGCTCCAGCTTCACTGCTCAGAGGAGGTAGGATTTGTGGCTGCAAAACTGCTTGTGAACAGTGGTCAGAGGAGCTATTGTTCAAGAAGGTTCTTTACTATACTGTCTCTTCAGTTCTGAATCCTTGCTTAGTTGAAGCCTGTCTGCTAGGCTCTCCAGTGCCCTAGTTCCTGGTTCTCTGTAACACGGAATGAGACTTGGCTTTAGTGCTGTCACTGCACAGCTTTGTTTCCCTGTTTCTCTGTTGAGCAAGGGTATTCTTTATTATATCCACCTACACATAATTTGTACTTTCCTTCTCCTTATTCATCATGGTCCCCCCAGGACACCTCACCAGAAAGATAAAAGTGCTCTCATAAGAATGCCAAAGAAGTGCCTATCCCTGGAAATTATTAGACTTCCTAGTCAGAAAGGGACATGTGGAGAACCCTGTTCAACAGATGTCAGTTTTAGGGGATCATATCTAAAGCTATTTCAAAGAGGCTTACTTGAAACTGTCCAAAAAAATTTAACTTTTCATCTTTGCATGGGCTCTGCTTCAGGACCCTGTGTTTGTATGCACGTATGTGTGCGCTTCCAGGTCGTGAGCCTGGATGGACCCTCAGGCTCTGTAAATGGCAAGTTTTTGCTTTCTAATGTTTTACTTGGCTACATAGCCTTCCTTCCTGTGGAGGAGAGAGTAGCCGCCTTTGTCACAATCTGATTCACGTCTCAGGATAGACGGCTTAATGATATTTGCACATACTGATTTTCAAGTCTGTGTACTGGTCACTGTGAAGGAGAACAGAGCCCAACATCCAATACAAGAGGGAGGGGAGGGGACTCCGCCAGGACTCTGAGAAGAGGCCTCAGCATATGTGGCTGGAGGATCAGCAGATGGAGAGGTCTTAGAGGCCATGGTTCCTGGTGATGGGGCAGGGAGGTGGGGGGGGTTGTCATCTCTTACTTAGGAAATAGTAAGGGGCCGTAATAAGGCCCAGCACTGCCCAAGACTTGTTGAAATAAATCACCAGAGATGTCAGCTTTTGAAACCATTTGTTTATTTCTTGTGCTCAGCGAGGTGGCCTTGTTTTGTGTGTGTCTCCTGAACAGATCTCCAGTCTTTGTGCTGAAGAGGCTGCAGCCCAAGAGCAGACAGGCCAAGTCGAAGAATGCCTCAAAGTTAATCTGCTCAAAATCAAAACCGAAATGTGTAAAAAGGTAACCCCCGTCACATTGCCCCACTTCCTCCTCCTTCCTCTTTCTCTAGTGTAGTCCTGTAGTCTGCACACCTGCAAAAATGACAAGGATGTAACATCTTGCTCTTATTTCCTGACTTCACAAGAGGGACACAAAATCACCATCAGCAGCCCTAGGCTTGTATCCTATGAGGCCAGACATGCCACCACCCTTCAGCCTTTTTACCAACTCTGACACCAACCATCCCACTCAACAGCACTCGCTGCTTCTGTGGTTGGGTTTGATAATTCATTGTAGTGGCCCCACAGAACTCACAGATGATATTCACAGGGGTTTATTAGGGAAGTAACAGGCTACAGTTCAGGTTCAAGAACCAGCTAGAGATACACTTCTTCCATCAGAACAGTCTCCCCTCTACTGTGCCCTCAGGCATGCCTCTCTGACCCTTGGTCTCTTGGCCTAGCCTCTGCCCTGCTCAGTCAAGTGTTAAAAAGCTCTTTTAGCTCTGCCAATAGGTGTACCTAGCTGCACCCCATTCCACAAGCAAACTTCCTGCCCAGAGGCACTCGACTTTCTTGCTCCGTGGGCCGACAAGCCTGCCACTCTGTCTTGACCCTCCTGGTTCCTCTCCTGCTGTGTCAGCCGGTTGGTTGTCTCTGTCAAGGAGGATCAGTGCTCCACTCCACCTCCAGCTCTTCTCTCTTGATGGCAATGAGATCCCTCTTTCTGTCTTGAGGAAGACTCATTTTAAGCCTAGCAAAATGGCAAAACTAACCAGTCCCCACATTTGAGTCCCATACACCTTATTTGCATGGTACCACCCAGTAATCTGGTGGGAGTCACAAAGACTGGTTAGAAAAGCCATATCAAATAATTCACTGAACCACACGTTAATTATAAAATCTAAAATCCACACCTTCTTTTGCAGAATCCTTCTTTGTTCTTGTTGTTGTTGTTGTTGTCGTCAAGTGCCGTCGAGTCGTTTCCGACTCATAGCGACCCCATGCACAGCAGAACGAAATACTGCCCAATCCCGCGCCAGCCCCACAATCCCTGCTATACTTGAGCCCATCATCGCAGCCACCGTATCAATCCATCTCTTTGAAGGCCTCCCCCTCTTTCGTCGAC